CGGTCCTGCCTGGGCAGGACTGTCACGGCCGCCTTCCTCTTGCAGGACCCCCGACTGTGCCTTTACACTGGATGCACGGAGGGGGGCTCTCCCTGGCTGTGGGGCACATGGCCAAAAACGCGGTGCGAGTTACTAAGGATCTAGCAAAATACCCTGTAAGTATCAAATCCTCCCAGCCCCACCCCGCCCCAATCCCTTATTTTGTAGGGTTTGGCCTTGCTAGCTGGGCAGGCAGGCAGCCTGAGACGTAGGCCTCTCCCTCCAGGCCGGGTCCCCTCCGGATCCAGTTTGCTTTACAGTCCGGAGGGGTGCCCTGCTACTGTGGCCACGGCGCTCCTTCCTGCCAGCTTGGGGCAGCCCAAGCGCAAGGCGTGCTGGAAGCAGATGTTTTCCAACTGCAGGGCAGAAAGCATCTGCAGGAAAGGCAAGGCAGAAGGGAGAGGCCCCCTCGTGCTCGCTAGCAGCGCGTCTGGTCTTCCCAGGAGACCGAATCCGGGGACTGGCGCTCAAAGCAGATGCCGCGTTTACGAGCATCTGGGGGAGGGATGGGGCGTCACCTAATCCAACTCTCGCAAGTTGTGCTCGCCAGAGAGGATGGCGAAGACCGAGCGGCCGTTGGAGCAGCTGTGGGAGATTGTGTAGTGCTTCGTGGGTTCGGTAGGGTCCCTCGGAACATCACGCAGGCTGACCCAACCCTTCTTTTTGGCTTCCGTCCTGCGGGCGCTTGCTGATAATAGTAGGAATACCCTTTATTGTACCTTACCTCCTAGAATAAACTCTGAAGCGTTTGCAATACGTGCCTACTTGGAATTAACTTGCTCTTTCATCACCCCCCCAAAAAAGGGCAGATCACAGACAGTTCTCGGAGCAAGAAGGTAGATGGGGGGGCTGCAGTCACTTCCACCCCCAAAGCAAAAGCAAGTGACTTAGGTTGCTCAGCTGAGGTAGCGTGGGATTGATTTCTAAGGCCTGGCCCTTGTCCCGCCACCCCCGACCAGGCAGCCAAGAAGAAATATTCCAGTGTCGGATTCCAGAGGATCGGCACCATCCCACAGCTGAACTCCCGCACCACCAAGGGCCTCGCGGCACGTTGGCTGAATGAATCCAAGCCGGCGAGGCGAGTGCCAGCCGGAGTCCGCGTGATCCGTGGTAGGGAAGGGGGCCTCTCGCGGTAGGCGGTGCGTAGGCTAGCGTTCTCCGCACTTAATAAAGAAGTTGCAGGAAATGCCCTTTTAAAGCCCATGTGAGCAATCGGACAATAAGGTGCCAATACTTTGCTCTGCCTGTCTCCTCACCGGGTAGCAAGAGGGACTTCCTAATAGAGTGGCTTTAAAGCTGAAGGCCTGCGGGGCACGGAGGGAAACAGAATTACTCCACAAAAAGGAAAAAAACCCTTTACCTCTCAGCCCCTTCCGTGTCTGTCCCACCTTGTAAGAGGGTGAGGGACCTTTCTGCCAGAGGAGTCTGCTTGAGCCAATGGGGCTGGCCTGTTTGTCCAGCAGGTTCTGGAGTCCGGAAACTGCCTCCCACTGCAGCCCCCCTGCCCCGGGCTGAAAGGGCAGGGCGAGCACCTCCAACAGAGCCCCACACCATGGCAACTGTAGTTTCTACGTTTTTATTGATGGGAGGGGAGCAATTAAGCCACCATGCAGGGGGCCAACGGCAGCGCAGGCCAGCCTTGGAAGCTCTTCTTAATGCTGACGTTCTTTACTAGTTGCTATGACAAGGTACCTGGGTCCCAGATGATATTCCAAGCCACCTAATTGTTGTGCATATTAGTACAGCTTTGCCTCTGACTCCTTTTTAAACGTGCCCCGGATGAAATCAGTAACCGGAGCGTACAGCTTCCTGGAGGCAAAGGGCAGCTGGGGCCGGGTTAGGAGGGCGAGGGAGGGCGTGCACGTAGAGCAAAAACAAAAGTCAACGTGGACCAGCCACCGTAATGGATCAGAACAAACTATTTGCAGCGTAGAATACTGTCTTCCTTTGGTCCTGGTGCCTTTCTGGAGTCGCAAGCGCACCTAGACAAGGCTGTAGGAGAGAGGGTGCGTATGCCTGGGGAAGGAGGAGATGGTGCCAGGTCCCAAAGAGAGAGAACCCTTCCACTTCAAAGAGGACTAGCAGCAGACTCTCTTTCCTCTGCGAAGCTGTCCACAGAGGAAATGTGCATAGACCGCCACTGCTTTGTTAGATAATTCAGAAGAAACAGCACGGCAACTAGAGGCACTTGAGAAATGGAACGAAAAACCCGCCCCCCGTAGCTCTTCTAAATCTGTCACAGAGCATCTGATGCTTTCCAGAACTCTGCTTTTTAAAAAACAACGGAATGTAATTTGAACACATTCCTCTTCACAAGAAAAAGAGTTAAATAAAATAAATAAATCCCTGGCTTTGTGGGCTTTGGCTTCTCGTAAAGCAGACGCATCCTCTTTTTAACCTCGCGGAGGAACGGAAGACCCACGTTCTAGACTTTGCTTACAGCGGCAGCTTCCCGCATAGCTCACGGGGTTGGAAAGCGTCTCGCCGGGCATCTTGGAGCTGCTCCAGGGCTTCTCGGGACAGAGTTATACCTTGGTCACATAATTATTGGGAAAGAGTCCTTGTTTGCCTCTTAATCTGCCTGTCCACCAGCCTGAGGGATCTGGAAAGAAGGAGAGTTAGCTGGAGGTAAGTTTGCCTGTCCCAGACCCAGAAGACCCCCCGAGCTGCTTATTCTGGTATTTCAGGCCTAAGAAAGCGGACTGCCGTGGGGCACGAGTGAAGCGCGTCTCCAAAGCCTCAAGATAAACCCTATCGATGCCTAAAGACTTGTCTTTTTTTCCCTTTTTGGGGGGGGAGATCCGGAAGAAATCATTTTGTGTAGTGTCCAAATGGGGGAGAGTAACAAGCTAATCCAAAATTAGGTTATTGAGTAAACAGTGATAAATAACAGGGCATAAGCAGAACTGAGATTTAAGACTCCCGCGCTATTCCAAGGCAGCAACTTTAGGTTATCCGATAAAACCGCTGCCAAGCCATACTTTGCCTTGGCAACCAATGCCCCTTCGTGATAAGCATCGTGGCTGAGAGCCGAGGCAAGACACAGGCTTTCTCTCCGAGGGCCCAGCTGCCAATCTGGTCCCATTCTGGAGGGGCAGAGATGGGCCAACGAGGGGATACATCACCTGCGTTTCAGACGACACAGGAATGATAAACTCTTGTCCCTTATCTGAATATTCGGTAGTCCAGGTATATTAAAAAATACGATGGGGTGAGTTACAAAACGGAGCCCTTGGGTTTCGTAAAATAAAAAGGCAATTTCCGCCGGGAGTGCGCTGCGCTGCTCCTGAATGCTCGCCACCTCAGAGGGCAGAGGCGGCTTTGGAAGGCCAAACCACTCTGTGCGCCCAGGTCACTGCAGTTCACTTAACAGCCCGTGGCTTCGTGGGCCTGCGGAGAGGGGCCTTACCTTCTCGGATGAGGTCAATGATGTCGTTGGCATTAAAGCTGAGCTCGTCTGTGTCTTGCGCATCGTAGGCATACAGTGCCCTGCATTGGGGTACCTGAGGCTTGGGCTTGGGCTGGGGCTTGGGTCTGCCCCCAGCAGGTGGGGGTCGGCTCGTCGTCTGCCTGCGGGCACTAGAGTCACGGAGGAAGGCCGTCAGGTGGCAGGACCTGGCTGGGTTATCTGTCCCCCCAGTGCAACCTCCCCCCACCCACTCACGCACGTGCACAGAACATAATATTTACTAGAGAAAACCAAGTGTCGTTATCCACACGTGGCATCCTTAGAATGCTTCTTCCTTTGCAGAACACGAGCTCCAAAGAGGAGAGGCTACTGCTCATCTGTAAAATGGGGTGGCCTACCTTGCAGGGAGGACTGGAGGGCACACAAGGTGAGTTCACAAAGGCCAAGAGCTCTAGATGGGATGCTGCTGTTGTAACTGGTGAAGGGCTCTAGCCTTTCCATTTTATATCAAAAGAAAATTTACCAAATGCAAGCCCGTGAGAGTTTCTAATGCCGTTCTCTCTGAGTTGGACTGCAGTGCCTATCCGCTTTGGCCACCACTGCCAATACTCAGAACGAGGGCAGGAGATACTGAACGTTTCCAGAAGGGGAAGAGGGGCTTAACGGGCAGTGATCCATTCAGTGAAAACACGCACATTAGGAACTTCCCCTAGCAGGTGGTGATAGGGGCTGTGCTCCCCCAACTAAAGTTGGGGGGGAGCACAGCTCAGCTGCAAGGGGCCACCCAGTGAAGCGGGAGCGACGTCTCCAGAAGGGGTGGCTTGGTTTTGGCATTTTGCGGTTTGCGTGAGTGACGGGAGCAGGAGGCCTCTGGGTGGCATACTGCTACGACTGAGGGGGCTTCAATGCCACACGTGGCTTTTCCTTAACAGCCTGTTCTGTTCGGGATGATTAAACAATCAGTCACGGAGGACAGGCATCGCTGAGATGAAAAGGCCTTGATTTTGAAAGGCACCCAGCGTCCGTTTTGGATCAGCCTTTTCTGCCTGCTGAAGTATCCAGGCGCAGCTTCCAAGGCAGCGTTCCTTCATTCCTTCACTCATTCCTGCAGATGTACTTCGGACGCCCCACACAGCACACCTCATCTCTGCTACCAAATGCAAAGACATGGCTAAGGGCTGCGTTCTCAGGGCTACAAGGGAAGGGCAGCAGTTTTGTGGCTTCCTGGTAGCTCTGAGGGGCTGCTAAATGTGCCCGGCCTGCTCCCTTCCTGGACCGTGACCGCCTGAGCGAGTCTGCAGAGGCGAGGCGGGCAGAGCAGCAGGCCCACCGGGCCTTTCCCAGAGCCCAGAGAGGAGGCGGACGGCGCAGCTGCCTGCAGCCAGCCCTCCAGCCCCCAGGCGCCTGCCTCTTCAGACAAACAAGCAGCCGTTTTGCACAGAGGAGCTCGACCAAGCGGATGCTGCAGAAGGCTTACCCGGCGGCACCTTGCTCTGGCACTCTGAGGAAGTCCAGGTTGCTGGGCTGCTGGGATATCCTGCCAGATCCCCCCGAGACCCGTGGCAGTGGTGGGCACGCCATGGAGGTGTACAGGCTCTTCTGACTAGCCCGTTGGCTTGCTAGGCCCGAAGGGTGCAGGGGGTGTTGCTGGATCTTTATCACTCCATTCTGTAGACCTGAAAGGAACTCGAGATGAAAACGCCCAAGAGCCAACCCCCCGTGGCCCGTTCATGGAATGGCTTCCCCTGAATTTCTTCCCAGGCGTGTTGTTCAACTGTCACGCTTTGGACCAGCAGGGAGCCCTCTCCTCTATGGCCCAGCTTTCCGCCACGAGGCGTCAGGTGCCACGTTGCTCCCAGCCACTTGCATTTAGCGCACAGCTGCCCCCCAGCTTGAAGTCTCCCTGCAGTCCTCATGTCTCGAAGCCCTGAGCGGGATTCTCCTCCAGAAGAGGCTGGCCACACACGTGGCGTGAATCCTAGCTGTTCCATTTTTTGGGTTGGGTTTTATGTATTACGCAGACCCAGCCATCGTGACGGATACCACAGATGCAGATTAAAAGAAACCACAGCTTAGTGCAGTCATTTTGAATCTGTTGCTGATTGTGGCTGATGATACTGGTGTTGGCCTGGACAGGGGACAGCCACCTCCTCTCAACCACCGAGCTCACAGAGTGGGGGGGGATCCTGTCCTCTGCTCAAGCTGCCTCGTGCGCAGAGGAAGGCAGGGTTTAATAATGAGAGACGCGAGATGGAATATCCTTTAGGGACAACGGATTTGGAGCCGGTTCTGAGAGCTTACCGGGGGGCGGGGGAGCAGCCCGCATCGGATAGTTCTGGCCCGGCATCTTGCTGGGAAGCCCTCCAGGCTGGGTCCTGTCCCTTCTGGTGGGTCCTGCAACGCAACCCAGAAGTCACTCAAGCAGCAACCATTTGCTTCAAGCGGTGGTGTGCCTGCCACTAGCATCCCCCACAACCTCTGGGTATCTGTACTTACGGGCATTCTTTGGCAGTCCAGGCCCGATGCTGACCTGCAGCACTTTATTGCTCGGCCTGAGAACGGCCACGTCTCCCTGACCTTGACTGAACTGCACTTGGCGAGAGCCACCAGCCTTCCACGGCCCCCAGTTCTCCTTCTTCAGCTTCACCTCGAGTCTGGCACAGAAAGGAAGAACAACAGTAAGGGGGGGAAGCCAGACTCCCCCTCCTGGGTCTGTCTCCTTGGCTGCAGGACCCTTAAGAGCACCTCTGGAATTCCTGAGGACCTCCACCTCTGCAGGACGGTTTCGCTACTTCTTGGGGTCAGGAAGTGACACCAAGGAGATGTGCAGACCCAGGCAAAATTAAATGAAGAAGCTCAGCAAACAACGTGGCTGTCCCTACCCGCTTTTTAGAAAACATGATGCGCATCATGCATCCACCATGCAGGACATTGGCTGCTGACAGAGCAAATGTGACTGATGCATTTGCTATCTCGAGCAAAGCTAAAAATAGCAGCTTCCTCCAGCCCCTTCTCTGTATTTGACCATATCAAACAAGGGATTTCAGCAAAAATGTCTTCCCTGATTCCAACGCAAAGGAGGAGCGATTTGCCTAAGGGAGAAATCTGGGTGGGACGTTCATCTCCTTTCAGTTTGCTTCTGCCTAACAGAGCTGGGGGTCTTCTTTGTAACCCCTGGCCCTTGAGGGAGAGAGAAAACGGCCATGGTCAGACTCCCCCAGAACTGTTGTGGCGGTGAGCCAATTGTTTGTTTCCTGTCTCTCTCCTGCTTAGTTTAATGCGGAAGGCAGGTGGTAGGGAAGAGGTGCTCCTAAGGGGCCCAGGAGAGGCGGCGTGGGCAGAGATTGGACTCTGAGGAGCCCGGCTCGCGTCCTGCCACCTCTCGGAGGCCCACAGTCACCCCTGTGTTTCTAGCAAGGACCAGGCTTCCGTCACCGACTGTGCTGCGGGATGGGGCAAGGGAGATGGTCTTGTGAGGCGTCCCCGGGCGTGCCGTTCGCTCCTAGCTTTGTCCCAGGGCGGGCAGAGCTGACTTGGCCTAACCTGCAGGAGCCTCTCCTGCAAGGCCCACTCACGTGTTGCTGAACTTAAGAGGTAGCCGCCTCTGCGTCTTCTCCTCGTAGCGCTTTGACAAAAGGCTCAGAAACTCGGTCTTGAAGATAGACTCAAGGAGACTGTCATACTCTTGCTCGTGTAGGACAAAAAGGTCATCCTGCATTGTGCTGGGAAAGGAAAGTTGGGGCGCAAGAAATTCAGAGTTTGCCTCTCCAGGGAGGAGAATTCTACACAAAGATCTGGCTTTGTTTCAAGCTTTACAAAAGTCTACAAATTATATTAGTATTAGAGAATAGAGGGGTTATAAAAACCACCTTTAAAATGGCATCGGGGCCAGGTAGTCCCATTACATATCAGCGCCAAGGTGTAAAAACCCCACCTAACCACTTCTGCAGGAGCATTTGACTTCTTAAAAAGCAATCATGCTACTAGGGTGTCTTTGTGTAAATAAGAAGCAGATAGTAATGGTAACTGTTTTCAGAATATCATGAACTACAAATAATCATTTTTAATTCATTAAATCAGAATCCGGGACTAAGTGGATTTTACTCAATTTCTGATTATGCTAATGATGTTTATATGCATTGTGTAGTCAAGGAGCAAATTAACACGCTTCGTAAGTGATGTAAAAGAGCGCGAGGTGGTGAGTCCATTCTGAAAGCGGCCCCCCCCAAATATCAAAGCCCCGTTCCTCTTTGCCCCCTCCATCCAGGTCTTTCCTTCCTTCCTTCCTCTGAAGAAAGGCAGCCCTGACCTTAGTGAGACAGAGAGGATCCTCTCCACTTCAATCCGCCGCTTGAGAACCTCCTTCACGAGGCCTTTATCTGGTCCCTGCTTCACCTTTTCACGCCCAATCAGATACACACATTTAGGAGAGAGAATGAGGTCTCGCTTGATGCCCTGAAACGAGAACGGATCCGTGGCTGCTGCTCTGCCCGCCCTCGCCAAAAGGAGAGCCCATTCCCAGCCTTCACGTAGAGGAATGACAAGATCCCTGGGTACGATGGATGAGCCAAGGGGTTTCGATATCAAAACTAAGAACGTTCAGTATGAGCGTTGCTGCTCGCCCGCAGGCCCAAACACCTGGGATTCTCTCAGCTTGCATGGAACAGATGGGAAAGGTGCAGAAGAATGGGGGAGTCGAGTACTCCCCTGTGGATCAGCTCTCTGGGAAGCCTGCGAAGGCAGCCCACGGTTTGTCTCGGGACCTTGGATTAGCACAGGGCTTCTCTTGGGGGTCCTGTGATTAGGGAATGTTCCCCGCACAGACCTTCAGGGTCCTCCATTGTTCTTCCCTGCCCTTAGGCTGGATTATCAGTCACAGCCTCACAGTCCACATCCAAGCCCTTAAGACGTTTTGCTGTAGGGTGGGTGATATTAATTTTAGTAAGCACGTGAATCAGCCCGTCCACCCGGAGCCCTTGACCAGATTCAGTGTCATTGTGGGTGGGTGTGAGGCAGAGGGGAAGGGTCTTGTGCACGACAGCATCAACTTGCACAGGCTACAGCTTTCCATCCGAAAGCGCCGTTGTTGGGCCCCGGGCCCCCAGAACGAGCAGCGAGAGAAGAGCAGCTGACTTGTCTGCATGCACTCTGCAACTGGGCCACATGGCCATCAAGAAAAGCCTAAGCTAAATGGGCACAGAGGCAACATATCCAGTTTACTTATATACCTTAAATCGCCTGTCGTACTTGGTGACGATGTCAGCAAAATCTATCTTTTCCCGCTTGCCCACAAATTGGCGTAGCTCTGGATGGTCGTCCATGCCAATATAGTCCCCCACAAAGTTCCTGTTGATGCTGTTCCGCCTCCTCTCTTTCTTGTTCAGCAGCAGATCTGAGGCTTTGCCAGGGAAGAACAGCGTTACTTAGTGATACCAGGGACAAAAAGAGATTCCATCACATGGACTTCAGATACTGACAATTTGTTGCACGTGCCAGGACTGAGCCTTGAAGAATTGAGCCTAGGTTCAGCCATAACATGTAGGATCTAGACTTTGTCAGACCAAGTTGGAGAAACCTGGCTGTGATCCCTTCTCAAGCCCACTTCCTAACCTTTCCAGAGACGATTCATTTTCTTTATGGCTTCTGCTTCTCTCTCTCTCTCTCTCTCTCTTTTCAGCTCCTTTATACTTGGACTGAATAACACATTGGGGTAGAAACCAGAGCTTTGCTTCACACTGTACCTAAATGGTTACATTCAGGCCTTTGAGGCCTGGCTGCAGGATCATTTGGTTGGTTGCATTTCTCCGGCCACCCAACTCAAACAAGGTGACTCTGGGCAGCATGCAAGAATGTCAACAAGAAATACAGCCCCCAAAAGAAAGCAGCGCAATGCCTTAAAAGCCAACCAAAACAGTAAAATGGCAACCAGGCTCAAATATGCTGCAACTCCACCAATTTGGGGTCCACTCATCTGGAACCACAGGCCTGTGGGGAAAGCCGGACCTTGACTGCCCTTCTGAAGGCCTGCAGGATCAGAGGGGGCCCGAATCTCAGGAGCTAGAGAAGATGAGGATGACGGTGGTGGCTGAGAACATGGAAGTTGCGCATCTGAGGCAGCGTGCACACAGGCATATACTCATTCTGTAACTTCTTGAAGAACAGAAGACACCCATCATCCATCTTATTACATACAGTGAATCATCACAAATACCTTCTTCTCTCATTTGTACATATTTCTTCCTCGCGATGTGTTTCCTCCAAGCCTTCTGGATGGCCCGCGCATAGCCATCATACTTTCGTTCCCTCATTTCCTCCAGCAGAAATAGCTGCAAGAGAAAGAAAACCCTTCGCTGGTCCAACAGCCCTATCTTGATCCTTTAATGAGTGCTGCCTCTTGGCTCAGCAAGAAGCAGAAGGAAGCAGAGTCTCAAAGAAGGCTGTCTCTCAGAGTCTCGCAGAAACGCAGTGACAGAACAGCAGGCCCAACTCCCAATCTGTGGGTGGAGAAAGGCCTTCCAGTCCATTTGATGAAGCTTCTCCAAAATTCAAGGGGTAACTACTTTCCAGAGAACAGTGACCCCTTGTAGGAGATCTTGGCACCATTAAAAAGGGCAGATAGGGAAACCAGGAGGCTTGATCCGCAGGTCCCCCCAAGACACACTTTTCTGGGATCTACATCTTGGGTGGGGAGAGAAGTGCCTTTTGGATTCTCCGTCTCCTGCTCTGAAACATCTCAAGCAAGTTCCACGGGAGCTTTGTTTCGTTCTGTTTGATTTCAAAAGTAACTATTGGAGCACAGACTGAGGTCATTCTGCCAAGTTGAGAAAATATGGAATAATTCAGGAAGTCCTTAGATACGCAGGTTCATCTACCTTAAGGGAAAGCATATTTCTACTTAGTGAATAAGAGGAAGCTATTTTCGGAAATGAAAAGCCATTATTCTAAGTGGCGTTAGGGAGTTGTGCTGCCTCCAACCAAATGACCAACATCCATTCTGCATGCACACGGGTGAAGTCCTGACCCTCTGGGATTTGGCTCTGAGAGAGACCCTTCTCATCACCTGCAACCAGGGATGCTACCTAGGACTAAACCTGGAATGTCCTTTTGTATCACCACAGAAATTCATGCCTTCCACTCCAGGACCACCAAATAAGAAGGAACAGCCCCGCTGTTGGAACCAGAGTCTCTCTTGCATGAAAGCTGTCTCGGGGGGGCGGTCCCAAGAGAAGGCTTGACCCATCCATCTCACACTGCAGTTGTCCCTCAAGTGGTACACTTCAAACATGTCAAACTGCCATCTTTTCCAGCTGACTAAGTTATGGAAAGTGTCGTCTGACACGTTTGGAAGCGTCCTTTGGAGGACTGCTGTCTTGGAGTTTCTAAATGACCCATCACGTGGAAATGAGCAAGCCGTGTTTCACTGTGCTGTGACCAGTTTTGCTCTTTCAAAACAATCCCCTGCTTCCTCTTCTTCCAGCACTTCTCCTGTTTTGCTCTAGCTCTTAGCTGGAGCAGAAAGCTGGCAGAACATCCTGCTCCCCCAGCAAGGTGATTTACATGATTCACTCCCAGCAGTCGTACTAATTGCAAGCCGTCTATCCAAACAGAGCTGCCCCTCTGCTGTAATTAAGGTCCACGTCAGACACACTTCCTGTGTCCAGAAAACCCCAGCTAGTGACTTGCAAGTAAACAAACAAACAAACAAACAAACAAACTGCTTGTGACATACAAGAAAAGCTGGAAGCAAAAATGAAAAGGGACTTTTTAATGAAAACGAATGCTTTGTCTCCACTGCTGTTCCTTCTCAAATCAGACCTTCTTAGCCCCCTCCACTGAACAGACACAGCGGATTCACACAGTTGGATGGATTCATACAACATTCCAAGCCAAAATCAACAAACCTCTTTGTGGCTGTTGTTGTGTTATGTGAACAAGGCCAGTAATTGTACAGACCTTTGAGGTCTTACAACCGACTTCCTAAGACCCCAGTGGGAAATTGGGAATCGTCTCCAAAACAGGCAGACTCTCCTCCTGAGCGCACGCGTCAGAGGCTGACTCCAGTTCAAAAGCTTTGGGCCACAGGGACCCCGTTCCCATCACATACTTTGGGGAGCAAGGAGGAAAAAAGAGGAGCTCTGTATTGTAGGACAGGACGAGTGGGACGGTCACCCTTGACCTGGGGCAGAGTGGTCAGGACATGTCTGTACCACAACTCATGATTAAATCATGCAAGGGGTCCATAGCGGAGAGTTCTTAGTGCCAAACTACATTTCCTGGGGGGGGGGAGTGGGGAGGTAACTGAAAGTCTCAGGAAGTATAAAATCAAAAGCAGGTCAAAGAGACACAGCTTCACCCTCCTACTCACAGACTCTGGTGCTTTGATGAAGATTTTAGTCCTCCCGAGCTGGTACTGGTCAGGATCCATGTTTACGGAATGGAGCAGGTGGAGAACGCCCTGTTTTTCATCTCCCTTCCAAAAAGGCCAGGTCTCTTTGGTCAGGATGGCATACCTTTAAGGAGAGACACTGCACGCTCAGTCTGTGAATGGCTCAAACGCTCATTTTCCAAGGAGAACCTGCCCTCTTTGCATATCAAATGTCCCAGTTCAACCTGTGCCAGAATGCCTGGTGGGGGCAGAGCTGGTGTATGGGAGGGTGGACCCATGGTTTGAATCGAGTTGTTTTGCAATTTCTGTGTGGTTGGTTTTCCCAAGAACCTCGCAAGGTCTACAGCTAGGAAGCAATAGGGTGCCTGCTGGATACTTTGACTACAGCTCCCACAGTCCCTTGCCACCCACCATGTTGGCTAGGACTATTGGATGTTAGACCACAACATTGATCAGGCACCAGACTGCCTATTCCTAATCTTCATAAAAGCAGTATATCCAGCTGAAGAAATAAGGTACTAAACTGAGAATCTTTTAAGTTGAGCAATCATAACTGCTTAGTTCAAGGATTCAAGGGGTTCAAGATTCAAATCCATGCAAAACATCTTAGTTCAAGATTCAAATCCATGCAAAATATATTCCGCAGAAGAGGAAACCCTGGAGACATTTGGAGGACACCTGGCTGTCCTTCCCTCCCGCTTTAACAGCGTGCGGAGAAACAGGTACCTCTGCAGGAATTTTTGGAACACTCGTCTGTAGGCGTAACCTGCTCGGCGAACTCGGATGTTTTCCCTGAGCCCCAGGTACTCCACTTGGTGCTTGACCCTGCAGGGAGAGGGTTAGGAGTTGAGCCCAGTTAACCAGGGAGGGGGCAACAGCTGCTTTCATGTTCGAAACGAGGGGCACAAGCGGTCAGCAACTGACTGAACGGGAAAAAAGGACCGTTTCAAGGGACAACTGGCTGCCCTGGAAGGAAGTGGCTCGCTGAGAGGCATTTTGAAAATGGCCTTTTCTCAGATAAAAAGAAAGGCGGTTTAACGTGTTCTGGGTCGTTGACACTGACAAGAACTGGCAAAACTGTAAGAAAGGGAAGGAGTATTGTTTATGCCTTTCCCCCGGCATTATTCCAATTTCAGAAGGCAGGCATCCGTAAACAGTTTATTCTGAACTATCCTCTCTTTTTACAACCATTCCGTTTAGAAGAATGATGAGAATAATTACTTTAAAAATGCAGGCAGAGGAACAGAGGTGTATTATCACAGAAAAAAAGAATGTAATGGGATTTTTAAAGCCTGAATTATCTTGACAACATAGCTTGGGACAACATGGATGTCAGAACTGGGAAACTAGCTTCCTGTGCTCACCACTCACAACTAATAGACGATGCATCCTGTGCTTGGAAGGAGCATTTTCAGCAGCATGAAAGTGGAAAAGGCAGCGGGTGTCCCCCACTGACAAGGGCCCAACCTGTGCAAGCCCCGTCAAACAGGCAGGGCGGTGCAAGGGGCTCAGGCCGGAGGCCTTCACAGTGCGGCCTGAACCGCCCGCCTGGGTTTTCTCTCCCCACTCCCCCTCTTCCCGTTGCAGAGGAAAGGGGGGCGCATAGCCCACCGGCACCCCCTCGTTTCTGCTCCGGCCTTTTCAGGGAATCCATACCTGCTTTCCTCCCAGTCGTGAGGCTTTTTGGTTTCGTTGGGCTTGATGCAGCGGATATAATGGGGGGTGCATTTCACCAGGGTGCCCACCAGGTCGTTGGCTTGTTTCTGCAGAACAGAGAAAAGGGAGTTTAAAGTCTGTTGCGGTTTGCTTACAGCAACGACAGCAACAATTCTGTCCGCTCCTTCGGCAAAAACAGTGGATCCTGAGGGATTCCGCTAGTGCCCTGAAGCCCCTGCGTCTGGCCAACCCTGAAACTTCGGTTGTGGGGAGCCGTTCGGCTTCTTCTAGCCCGGGGGCTTCTCTGCTCGTCCACTGCTGGGGCGCCGTGGGCAGAGCACTTAGGAGGGCAAAGGGGCAGCAGCCCACTCCTGCTGAAGGCGACTCTCTGTGCCAGCCCAGAGCAGAGGGACCAAGCAGGAGGCGAGTGCTGCCACCCCACCGCACAGAAAGCCAGTGGGGGGCCAGACCATACAAGCGCACGCACACGGAGCTGGGTTGTCATTGTCCTTTGCGGGAGGAGCAAAGGGCAGGGACAGATGAAGACGTAGCCACGCGGGCCTGATGGACAACTGCCAGATGCTCTTTCAGTCCTGCACTTTGGCCAAATCTTGCTTTCCCGTTACATTTCTGCTGGGCTCTTGTTTTTACATTAGGTTTCAGGCAGGAGCATCTGGACACTCCTGAAGTGACCAGAACCCGGAGGCCCTCCAGGTGCTGGAGAAGCAAGGTCCCCTCACATGCCACCGCCCCAAAACACCCACCTTGATTTTGCTGCCGGCGGTGGTGGGTCGGCCTTTCTTATCGGCTTGCAGGTTCTCTGGAAACAGCGCCTTTATAAAAGGCCTAGGAGGAGCAGAAGCAGAGGGAGAGGCGGTGAACTTAGTCCTCTGCGGGGTGCAACCAGCAGCCCCGGAGGCCCTGCTGACCAGCTTGGCTAGAAACGGGGGTGCAGATTCCTACCATTTTGAAGCAGGAAGCCCAGTGAGACGGTAGCACAAGCCCCACATAAGCCCAGCGTAACCCTAAACGCAGCATTAGGAGAGCAGGAACACAAATCACGGCCCAGCCCGCCCGCCTCGTCCCCATGCCTGCCCCAGCCCTGGCCGCCTTCCAAATGTCCCGCGTGGGCCTCGGCCCCCACGGGTTAGCCGCCTCTGACAGAATCAGCCAAGACGTGAACCATTCTGACCCACGAAGCAGCAATGACAGTATTTTTTGTATTTAAGAAACCCAAAGGCTGCGGGGCCTTTATTCCACATTCCAATTCTGGTTCTCATATCCTGGAGCAGGACGTGGATCTCCTTTAGCTTCCCTCACATCTCACGAGCCAGCTGTCTACAAGCTCTCACGCCATTTCTGATTAGCTTAGCGTCTGTTCTGTTGCTCTTAATGTGTTCGTTTCTTCGAAATCCATTTTTGCATCCCCAAGCTTTTGTGCAAGCCTGCACTTCTTCCTGGCTTGCTTAAGATTCCCTCCTTCCAAAAGGAGGTAGGGTGCTTTTTGTTTTTGGAATAAGAGCTTTCTTGGCACCGCTTGCCAGTGATGCTGGGGATGGCCTGGGCTTTGGGAATACTTTTCCAATCTTGTAGAATACCCGCTGAGCTCCTATCGCTGCCATCTTGAGTAACCCACAAATGTCCTGGCAAGATCTTACATGTAAATGCATCCTTAAACGTAAGAAAGCCTGTCTTACGTACAATTCGCTGCTTTGCATAAGTTCAATCAAGTCCATGAACAGAACATCTCGGTTCCTCTCACAGAATCCATCCATGTCATACGAAACCTGATGGGGAGAAAAGGGAGTAATCCAGCCTCAACTTGCTTGGCAAGGAAGAGGCCCTTCTCCAGCAGAAAAGCAAAGCGGTGCTCACTCCCAGTCTAGAATTTTGACAAATCCAGCCATCAGTTAAACCATAGTGTAAAGGAGCCATGCCACCAGTTAAATTGGACAAAAGCTCTGATATGGCCATTCTGGCTGGGCAAATACTCAATTTGGAAAGGTACCTTTCCAGCATAATGGTGGACGATGAAGCCCTGATTCCAGCTGTTGAAGTGCTCGTGAGTCCCGATCTGCATCTGCAGCTTCTGCAGCAGTGTCTGGTCTGCCCCTTCCCCGACCGCATGCATCGTGGCGCAGACATCATCCAGGATGCTCATGATGCCAGGTGGGTTCTGGGGTGCCAACAGAAACGGAAGCAAAACTTAGGAAGGACACTGGTCCTCAGTGTTGGGGCCTTTTAGGACTGAATGGTATTGGAAGGCTTTAGTTAGAGGGTTGCTGACCACAGTGGAAAGGATTGTAGCCCTTTCTCAATTCAGTTCCTGGCATTGCCAGTTAACAGCGTCAAGGAAGGGGCGAGAGAGATGGGCCTGGGGCTGTGGAGACCATCCCACACTTACCACTTTGTTCTCGATGAGGTCACAGACAATTTTGTTGTTGAAGTAATCAATGGGCGTCCAACGAATCCCTTCCTGAACGTATTCCTCCTACGACACAGAAAGGAAGGCTTGGCAACGCACCCAGAGGAGCTCTGAAGGTACGTGCTGAACCTTCTTGACTCAAGAACCCAGCCACATCCAAGCTGCTGCTTCATAGAGAGACACGATGGAGTTGTCCGCTGAAAGCAGGGAATGGCTGTCCTTCGCAGAGAGGACCACTCTCCCCAGGGCCGAGGGCCAAGTGCGGCTGCGTCTGTTTACTTACTAATGGCAGCCTAGCCTACCTAGTGTGAAAGGCTATACGGAGCAGGCCTGCCAAAATCCCCTCCTCAGAGCAGCTAAAAAGCCCAGGGTCAAAAGATCAGTGCAACCACTTTGAGATCTGCCATGTTTAGTCGTGTTGCTGTGACTCTTAGAGCAGTGGATGCATTTTGAAGAACTGAGATAGAGAAAGGAAGCATCGTTACAACCGCTGCCAGGATAAATATTCTTGGCAAGAAGTCCATAAAAAGCGGTTTATGGGCTTGCCCAGTCAACCCTACCTTTGTGGGCCCAAAGGGGAAAGCCACCCTGCTTTTGCAGAGCTCAGCCGCAGGAATTGCCAGGTGTGAGCAGGGTTGGACCTCTGAGCAGCCCCTAGGCTGAGCAAGGAGGGAGATGCGGGGAATCGGGAAGGGATAGAGCCAGAGTGTCAGTGTGGGGGTTTCAGGGCCTACGGAGAGTCGTTTTGTTTGGGCACTACTTAGCATCTGTTGGCTTGAAAGGAGCAAGGTACCTCCTAGGATCTTGTCCCACTGTTGGGGGACTAAGTCTGAACCCTAAATAAATCTCTGATCTGGCTGGCATTATTCAAAGACAAAGGCTCCGTACGGCAAAGGGCACTCCTCTTCCTATTTTCACAGGCAGCGGCTCTAGGAGTCACCTCCGATGCTGGAAAAACAGTCTAATAGGCTGCGTCCAGGTGAAACACAGCTGAACATCGGTGTAGGGATTGGCAGGTTTTTCCATTACACAGAACTCTTCCTCTTTTAATTGCTTTGCTACCTGATGAAGAGCGCCTAGTCACGCACTCTTCGGAAAAGCACAGCTCAAGGAATGAGATGCACCAGAGTGGTTTAAACAACATCTGTGGTTCCCAAGAGGATTTTAGGGAGCAAAATCAGCAAATGTACATGCTCTTCAGAATGGCAGGTAGCAAGGGAAAATAAAAGCAACCCGCCGTTCTCTTTGAAAGAGGCAGGCAGGCAGGAAATGGAGAAAACAGAAGTGCCCTCGTTTTAATTTCAGAGCCCCGTCCAACACGAGCACGCAGCCAGCCAGTTTTTCCACATCGGACAGCGAGTCAGTATCCAGGGGGAAGTCATATGATGCGATGATTGTTCTGGGACACGAGGCTCCCTCTTAGGTCACTGGATCAGAGGAGAAAATATTCCAGCAGCCATGGCTGTGTTTACTTCCAGGCTGGGCGGGCTAAACCACAACAGCTTTCTCTCCATCTTGCTTTGCAAGGCACTTTTTTAAACAATCATCAGCTGAAAAGCTTCCCATCCAGAGGCAGAAAAAAACAAGTGCCGACAGTTAGTTCCCAGGATTTCTCTCCAAGCCTTTCAGATTTACCTGCTCTGCCTTCAGGGTGAGCTCAATAAAGATCTGCTGCAGCTTTTCATTGACAAAATTGATGCAAAATTGCTCAAACCCGTTTTTCTGGAATAAGAACAAACCATGAAAAGATTAATGTAAGGCTCCCCATACCCATCTCTCTTTTTACCAAATTAAGCTGATCCAGTTGTCTTTTTCAACATGTTTTAATGACCTTCCCAGCTGAATTTTACAGGTCTGCTGTGAGCCTTTTCATGGAGGTCAGTGACCTCAGTTCTCCAAAACTGTTTCCAAAATCTGAATTTTCTTTAGAACAGCTGTTTTTGGTTCCATGCCCAGAAAAACTCAGAGCTTCTTTTGTTTTTTCTAAAATGCCTCACAGCCCCCTTTTGCACAGCTCCATTTAGACCCTAAATTCTGCCCTAGCTTACATTAAATGCTTTGTTTTAAATTAATTGATGTTTCCATTTATAGGAAGCAATACATTTGGGCTGACATCATCATCCTGCAACATTTAACCCACCTCCCTCCCCCAGATGTTTTTACTGCAGAAAGGCAAGACTAATAAAGTAGTCCTAAAACATAAATAAAACTCATTCCAGCAGCCTGACCTCACTTCATAGTCCAGCATGACCAACAGTATAATCCTGGACATGTTTGTTGGGAAATAACTGCCACTGTGTTTGTGGAACTCGCTCCTTGGTGAGCATTATCTAGAACTGCAGCCAGAGGAGAACTTTCTTGGGCAGCAAATACAGCTTCCCCAACCGTGATGCCTTTCCCTCTGTATTCTATAACCAAACAGCAGCCATGCATTTGGAGTGGGGGGGGGGGATGCAGTTCATAATCCTGCTGTGGGAAGGGCACCCCACTCTCCCCCCTTCCAAGCAAGAGAGGTTTTTGCCGTGGGGAGCTGTAAAAAATATGACCTCCCACTGCTCAGCTACAGAGATCCCTACAAGGGAGAGTCTCTGCTTTCTCCTACTTAGACTTCAGCCCCTGGCTAGGGAGGGACCAACCCATCAGACAGGCAAACAGGGAGGACCATCTTCACAGCCCCAGCCAGCAAACAGCACCGGGGCATACAGTAAAAACACTGCCTTCTGCTTCAGGCTGGCTTGGAGTTACCGGTGCCGAGGCTGAGGGCTGCTTCTCGTTTTGGCCCCTGGACCCCAAGGCAGGTCCTCTGAACAACCCCCAGTGGCGCAGGGATCGAGTAATTCTTCCAAAACGGCTGAATGTCTTCCTTCCTGCAAAAGGGCTGGCAGTTTTGCTGCTACAAAGCTTCCTAATCGATCTGTAGATCGTTACCTGAAATATTTCAAAGCCGTAGATGTCCAGGACACCAATATTATACTCTTGATTATCTTTTTCCATCGCCTTATTGATGGACTGATAAAACAAAATGGGGAAAAAAGTATTCCCATGAAAACAAGGAATGTAACTTTAAAATCAATGCAATATAGTGAATTAAACCTGAGTAAAAAGGCAATATTTTTGCTTGTTAAAGGTTATTTAATGCCACTTTAAGTGCACTGAGAACTGCAAGGGCAGGCCATTCACTCTTTGCTCTGCCCAGGAAGGAACTTCACTGAGATATTTTTATGCCAGTTCTTCTGCCATACCAACAACAGGGGGCCCTGAGTCTCCCCTCCCCAAGGGCAGCACCCTCTCAATGGGCACAAAGGGCAGAGTGTTTTGGAATGTCGTCTGCAAAACGGTGATGATGCAGCAATTTGAAGTGGCTGCTTTCAAGCCACAACAGGAAGAGGCAGAAGGCTTGAAAATAGCTACTTCAAATTGCTGAATTTTGCAGATCCTTCTTCTGAAACCTCTTAGAGGAAGTACTGCTGACGAGGGATGCCAAGGAGGGATATTCTTTTGTTATAGTTCAGTGGAATGTTTTTGTGACAATCTTATGCCTTTATTGTTTGCAAATGTCTGTTAACTGCCAGGAGTCTATTTGAGGTTGGCAGTATACATAGTTTATAATAAGTGCATAAATAATCCTCATGATGGACACCACTCTCCCATTCTCTTCCAGCAACTGGGGAAACAGTATGTTGAACCACCACCTACGTCCACCAAGAAGTCAAAGACCCTGGCGTGAAGTGCTTTGGCCAAGGCGTCCCTGGTGTAACACGCTTGCTCCACGTTGAGGGTCACGTTGATGGATTCCGATTTGCCGCCCCACTTGCTGTCCATCTGCCTGCTGGTCAGTTTCTCTTTAAGCCGGCACTGGTTAATTCCCAGGAGGAAAGCCGGGAATGCCAAAACTGCAGGGTATCGAAAGAAAACCATAGTGAGACAGCAAAGACTGCCAAATAAGAGTGGCAGCTCTATCTGGAAAAGCGGCAGTAGAACCGGCTTCCCAAAGTGCATCTTAAACCTCTTGGAAGACTCTTCTGCTCAGCAAGTTGGTTCTTTAGTCATCACAGGATCTTTCATTCTGTCCTGAATGCCAGAACTGGACCAGGCAAGCCAATAATCTACTTGGCATCCCTCCCCTGGCACAGGAGGAGAAGAGATGGAACCCTCCAGAAGTTCTTCGGAACATGGCCAGTTGCTCATGGTCCAGAGGGACAGGCAAGCAATGAGTAGCCGGAGGAGGAGGAAGGATAGCATTTTGTTTAGAACCTCATCCCGCTCAGGGTGGAGGGCACTGCATCATCAGTGCAGATTGCATGGGAAAACATTCCATGTTTTGCACCCCCTAATCCAGATCATTCTCCAGTTCTGGACACCTCTTTTTGGGTAGAGGAGGAGAAACTCTGGCAAACATCAATGTGCCTGGGCGTCTCTTGCCTACGTGGATATGGTTCTTCCGCATGATGGCCCACCACCCTTGCGTCACAAGAGCGAACTCCTGTGACCCCTCGGGGCTTCCCGTTCAGCCCTCGGCCACTGCTCCAACCCAGTCCAAGAGGGGCTACCTACACTCCTCGCTCTCCACTGCAGCATAGTTGCTGACTTCTTTGAAGCTGATGTTGCCCAAGTGAAGCACCCCTGCCACAATCTGGATCACCAAAGCCTGCTCTTCTGCAGAGATCCCAATGACATTCATGGCATGCTGCAAAGATTGAGATTGGGAGAAAAGAGAGGAACAGATGGATTACAAGCCCATCCGAAGAACTAAATCAGTTTGGCTTAATTAGCAGTAGTAAATATTTCTTTTTTTTTAAATAGTTTTTATTAAAAGATTTTACATAGGTAATAAGAATGCATTCAAAGAAAGAAAAAAGATATAGTAAAGTAAATGTGAAAAAGAGAAAAGAAAAGAGAAAGAGAAAAGAAGATAGAAGAAAGAAAAATAAAATAAGAGAACAGAAAACATGAGTATATCTACATGAATGAATGAATGAATGAATGGGCTTCTGATCTTCCTCCAGGCAGTTATACATACAACCGTAATCAAACAACCCACAAAATCATTTTCTTTCTTATGTAAAAAGTCCATAAGTGGTTTCCATTCATTGATAAATGTCAATAATAACCTTTCTCTAATCAAAGGAGTCAGTTTGTCCATCTCAGCAAGTTTAATAGTTCTCTGGGGATTTTTTAAACTCTTCTTCCTTTTTTTTTTTTAATCTTGTCCAAAGTCACTTAGATTTTCTCTTGCCTTTTCTTTTTAAACTCACTGTTATATTGAATAAAATATCCTCTTACAAAAGCTTTGCTTGCATCCCACACCGTTCTTACTTCTGTGCCTTTATTAAGCATATTCTCAAAAACTTCTTTTAACTTCTTCTTACAATCCTCCACTACCGTTTCCTTTTGGAACAACATCTCATTCAATCTCCATCTAAAAGAGCCATTTTTCCTTTTAAAAGTTAAAGTCACTTGGTTGTGGTCTGAAAAAGTCTTTGGTAATATCTCCACTTTATCAACATTAGTAGTCAAAGATAAGAGATCCAAATCATATCTATTCTGGAAAAAGATATATGTCTTTCAGAAAAATAAGTATATTCTTTTGAGTCACCATTTTTAAATCTCCAAACAAACCCCAAATTTTCCATTAAATAAAAAAAAAAAAAAAAAAAAACCTTTGGTAACGTGCCTTGTACATTTTTAATATTTTTCTCAGAAGTTCTATCTTTTTGTGGGGAAACCACTCCATTCCAATCTCCCAGGAGACACTAATTTTCATACAGAAAGTCCAATAGTTTATCCATAAGACCTTTATAAAATGCTGTTTTATCTTCGTTTGGAGCATAGAATCCCAGTATCAAAGTCTTAGCCCTCCATAGGTTAATTTCCACCCCAACATATCTGCCATAATCATTTAATATAAGTTTTGGATATAGTTGAGAATTTATACACAAAACAACTCCATTTCTTTTTTTCACTCCTGCTGAGATGAATTCTTTGCCCAAATTTTTTTGACTTAAATATTTCATATATTTTTTCCTAATATGTGTTTCTTGTAAGCAAATCACATTTTGTTTTAACTTTTTCAAATAATTTTCTTTTCTCTTTTGAGGAGCATTTGTTCCATTTATATTCCACGTTAAGCTTTTATAATCCATAGTTATGCCAAGATTTTAGAGAAATCAGTATCTGTAGTGCCCAACATGGTATCATCTTCAGTGTCCTGTTGTATCTGTTGTGGCATTTGTTCAGTCCCATCTGTCATTGTCACTTCCATTTGTATTTCCTCCCCTTCTTCTTTCAAATTTCCCAAGAAATCTCTTGCTTTCTGCACAGAGTTCGGCCTGAATCTCTGTTGTTTAAAAGTAAAAATCACCCCTTTCAGCTGATCCCATTTAAATGGAATCTTCTTCTGTTTAAGTTTGTCTGTCAGAAAAAATACTCTTTTCTCTTACGTAGTATTCTAATTGGAACTTCCTTAAGTACAGTTCCACCTGTGTTATCAATCCTCAATCTAGTACTGAAATTCTGCTGCAGAGCTTGATCTCTAGTCTTCCTCCTGACAAAGTACACAAATGTTCCCTTGGAATATTTCTTAATTTTGCAGATCGTGTATTGATCCTATAAGCCTTATCAATCCCTATGTCATCTGTATCCCAATCAAAAAAGTTAAACAGAGAGTTAACAGTCTTTTCTCTAATATCTTCCCCACGGTCTTCGGGAATTGCTCTAAATCTTAAACAAATTCTTTTTCTCTCAGTTCTAGTAACGCCAAGTTGTCCAACTCTTTCTCCATCTCTCTATTTATAACGTCTGTCTTTCCAAAACTTCCACTTTGTCATTAATTTGGTTTACATCTCCAGCCAATTGTCCTACATATTCTTCAATCTTCTTAACTGCTTCTTTCATATCCTTTTTTATCCCTGCAAATCCTTCTTCCGTTTCCTTTTTAAAAGCATCCAAACTATCGGCAACTGTTGCAGTCATCTTCTTGCCAAATTCTTCAAACATTTTCTGCAATAAATCTGGCATGATGCCCTTATCTGTAAGTTGTTCTGGTGAACCTCTCCTTCCTTCTCCTATTTTTGCTGCTTTCCTATGGCAATTACTAGGGTGAAAATAAAAGGCAGGGTTCTCTCTCTCTTTTTTCCCCCGTTTTGCTTTTCTCTGTCTTTAACACTTTAGTCCCAATCAGCCCACCGTAGCTACAGTCACACAACCTGGCTCATATTACCCTTATTTTGTAAAATCACCAATTATCTACTTCCTGTAATAATGAACAATCAGCATTCCCACGAAGGTCCGGTCTGCTTGTCTGATTAATTTTACTATTTTCAAAGGCACTTTCATCAGAAAAAAATTATTCTTCTGTTTTCTAAGATTACTGTCCCCTTTATCCATTTAAATTTTTCTTAAATCACAATCTTGTTAAGCTTTTTGCTTTTAAGTTAAAATCCTTTCAGATAGTTTTCTTCTCTCTTCTTAATTCCAAAAAGAAGGCAATTCACCAAGTGTCTTTATTTTTTCCTGCCATTCAGAATCTCTCTCTTAAGTTGTAAATTAATTGTATCCAAATGTTTAAGAAAGTGAGGTTTTTGCAGGTCATACGTCCGTAAAGGCTACGCAGCAGTTTTGAGCGTGATGATAATCCCTCAGCTCCCAAGCCACTCAACTCACGATCGACCACAAGAAACTCAATTACGGTGGTCTCCTCATGAGGAGCAGCTATCCAGAGCACAGGTGGGCAATTTCCCAATCTCTCCTTCTCCGGAGAGTATTTCGTCAGCCTTAACTTGCTGCCTGGTGGCCAGTCTTTGCTGCGGTACTGCTCCTGCTCACAAACACACTCATAGGGATGTCTAACCCGCCATAGGTCCTCACCCAGAAGCCCAACGGTAGTAAGTATTTCTATGTTATCTTCAGAGCATTTGGAACGGCTTCCTTATCACAGTCCTGAATCAGACTTGTGCTTTGCTATCTCTCTGAAAGGGCAAAAAATGCTGACTTATTTCATTTTAAATGAAAGAACAGTTAGGGAGGGAGCCCACGTGAAGACCAGCCTTTTGCAGAACAACACGCCATTGCTGTAGGTTGCCAGTTCTCGCCACAAGAAGCTCATTCAAATAAAAAGAACTCGAACGTTTCCAAGCATATTTGAAAAAAATACTTTAAAATCACAACAAGCAGAAGGCAGAAGGTATAAATCGCTAGAACTCTAAAGCAAGAAATGCTTTTCAGAGTTGATGCTCTCCAGCTGTTTCTCGCCATGTTATGCTGCAAGGCAGAGGAGGTGTTTAAACGACAGCAGAAGAGAACAAGCAATCTGTTTAAAAACCTTCTTCCTAAATGACTAAATATGCCCTTTATTTACGTATTTGCTTGCTTCCTCGCTTGCTTGCTCATGTTACGATTTTACAGACTGAGGAAAATCCATCTTGTACTCCGTTCTGTCTGACTTCTCAGTTCAGGGAACAGAGAAGAAAATCAAGGTGGATGAAACAGTGGAGTCCCAACAAATCCACAAAAGCCACCCAAAAGATCCAGAATCTTTGGCAATATGCAGGGGGACAGACAAGGGCTCCTTAACCAACCAAATCAACAGGGCAAGAGAGAATCAAGAAGATGAAAAGTATGAATCGCATGCGGTAGCGAGATTTCAGTAGAAAAGAGGATTAACCCGTCCATTTTTTAAAAACCACCTCCGTGGATGGAAATGAGGTTCCTGAAATCATAGAATTGTTGTCCAGAATGGCTAACGGACAATTCGGTATCTAGAGCGCCTCTCCAGCCTTGCCCCAGGGGCTTCTCAGGCACCCTCATAATAACTGACCACCACAGACCATCACTGTCCCCCTCTGCCTTTCTGAGCAAAGGAGCAGCTTTGCTAGTCTCGAAACTACACCTAAGATCAGATCAGGGAGCCGGATGAAAACACGGATGGACGCGGACGGGGATTCCTCTAGGACTTCTGTAGCAAAAAGCAGTCTGATCGTGTATGTAAACCTTACCGAAATGGCCCTTGTTCTCACACACGCTGCAGTTGGGACACATTTCTCACAGACGCTGCTCTTATTTAAAGTGGGGGTGCAGAAGGGGGGGTAAAGTTACCAGAGTTTCCTGGAAATCAGACTTGTCATTGATGTCTTCCACTTTGTAGGATCCTGAGAGGCTCAAATAGTGATAGTAATCCATACTGGTGATGCCAAGGCTGGTCTTTTGCTCACTGGAGGCGCCTTCAATCAGCTGCAGGATAAACCCCCCAAATGGTAAGTTAGTCCATTTTCTGTTGCGTCTGGGAGAGGGAGAGAATTTGGCTTTATTTATGGGTGGGGGTGGGGGGGAGCACTACTTTCATCCTTACTGGGGCTCTCATCCCAAGCTTCAAAGGAAAACGGCCATCTTTTGTATGTTGAAAACTACCTCTGAGAGAATAGGAGATGACAGACGTTTGCCAGGGTGATCACCGCAAATATTGCCTCTATAGAATTGGGCCCAGGGAGAAGGACCCTTTGCACACGAAAGGCCCCAATTTCAATCTTGGTTCTTAGCTATGTTATGCAACATAGCTAAGAACATCTCCAGGTGACCCCGGCAGCCCTCAGCCAGAAGAGTACCGAGCTCCAGGGAGCAGCAGTCGGTTTATTCAAAAGGCTGTCATTACATCAGGACTGCCAATTGGTTGCTTGCTGGTGGGGGATTATGGGGGAAGTAGTCCTGAAGGCCTGGAAAGCACCAGATGGCCCTCCAGAAGGAACAGGAGCACCTCCATCCCATTGCAGCCAAACTTGCAGAGAAGTTCTGAGGCCTCTTGTTCAAAGCACCGCTGCAGCCCCTCTCCCCAGGCAGTCTCTGACCTGGTAAAAAATGTGGAAGCTCCTTTCCCCAGGATTCCTCATGACGACTCGGGATTTCTCCAGCAGGAAGTTGGAGATCTTGCCTCCATCTGGCTCCCCACCTGGACTAAACTGGATTTCAAAGTATTTCCCCTGCAACAAATGGAGGATGTCGCTTATTGAAAGAGGGTGAAATAAATGCAAGCCTCAGCTCTAGGCTCTGAACAACTGGCTGTGGGCATTTTGCCCACCCATTAAAACAGAATGGCTAAAGGAATCATTTCCCCCAAGCATTTTCTACATGAAATCCTTGGCTGGGGAGAAAGAAAGGTTTCTTTTCTTACTGGGGGTCAAAATAGCATCACAACAGATGCTTGGTTATCCCCTTATATCCCCCCCCAACTTTAACCCTCTAGAACAGAAAGAATGGGGAGAAACGAAGAACGAGAATGAACGTGACCCATGTTGTGCTGTTTGGGCAAGTACCAAAATGCGCAACTCACAAATCTGCTGGAATTGTTGTTCCGGACAGTCTTGGCATTCCCAAAGGCCTCCAGGAGAGGGTTAGACTGCAGAATTATATCCTTCACGTGCTGAAAGCAAGAAAACTGAAGATAGGCTTTGGATGAAAGTGCCCTTCCTTCACCTTCTCCTTATACAAGTAAATGGTGCTGAGCTAGATCCTCCAGCTTGATCCTACGAGCCAGTTTTCGTACGCTCCTGAGCCAAAGCACTTGGTCTGTCACCCAGAGCTGCCGTCTGTGAGCTGCAGGCGGGGCTTCAGGCAGCTCTTTGGAAGCCGCCGCGCAGTGAACACGGGCAAGCAGGCACTCTGGCCCGGGGTCTTGCCCTGGGAATGGTTGTAAAGAGAGGGACCTCTCCCCTCCCCAACTGTTCGCATGGAGAAGACGGGCAACTGGCAACGCTGCCTTGAGCCACTGGAGGCGACTCAAGCACTACGCCAGGGAAGAGTGACATCTTTCTGCACCCTTTGGCTCCTCAGTGAAGATGGGCTTTTCTGCACGTTGATGTCCACACTCGATATGGGAAACCAGAAGGGTGGGCCTCGGGCCACCCAAAAGACCCCTTTTATTATTTATTATCCCATGTGTTAACACCCTTTCCTTCCCAAGACTTGCAGGAGGACCGCTGCCTAGACACAGATCCTAACGAGGTTGCCATTAATTACCCCGGGGTTGAAACCAATTAGCGATCTCCCCGGCAGTCATAAAGACACCTAGCTCTTCTGTTACCTATTTTCTGGCAGTCTAAATTTGGCTTCCAGGGGGGAAAAATGGAACTTTTCCCCTTCCTAGAAATAACTGAACCACTTATTTATAGCACACGATTAAGCCCATTCCAAAAACAACAGTTGCTCCTCCTTTGGCTACTTACGGCTCAAAACCAGGCAGACTGTGATCTTCATGGTAAAACAGGAAGGACATAATTAACAAGACTACAGCAGCACAAATAAATTACAGGGAGCTGTCCCAAGGAAGGCAGCCGCCTAGCAGAAGGACACCCAGATTGGTCCAGAAATGTCCCTTCCTCTCCGATCCTCTCACCTGCACTTTGGGGCCTCCTCCTGATATTTTGGAGATGTAACTCATGATGTACTTGGCTCCCACAGTCTTCCCAGCACCACTTTCACCACTGAGGAAAATTAAGAGCAGCATATGGTTACAGTCGTTCCGAGCAGAGCCCTCAAAAACAACGGTTGAGGTTTGTGAGTCCCAGAAGCCTTGACCTTACATGTTCCACCTGCCCCGAAGCAGAGCGCTTAAAGACTCCCTCTCACTCACGCCACGTCACCTGAACCCCCGGAGCATGGCTGATGCTTCACTCACTCGCAGTCTCAATTGGAAGCCAGGGTTTGAACTGAGCGTACCATCTTGGATGGCGAGCCAACCCTGGTTTGCCAGGCTTGGATAAAGCAACAAGTGTCGCTTTCTAGGACACCGGCAACCGAGACTTCCCACATCTGTGCCTTTGGAGGGGGAGATGCCTGAGAGGGCCCACGCCGCCAGGCCAAGGCTTAGGGCCAGCCCCGTCATGTGCTTTGCATCCTGTTTTCCTGCAAATTTGCATGGTTTTATCGATCAGAATCCTGATGAATTTGCTAAGTATAAAGCTCAGCAGGACAAGGATGCAATATTTATGAACCGCAATAAGCAGCCACGAGGCTGCTTGACTCCTTCTGGGCATCGTGGCCATTCCAGCCCAAGGTTCCTTGCAGGGCAATTGTCCCCTCAGCCCCTCCTCTTCTATTGCTTTTCCAATAAGTTGCGGGCAAATGCATTCCCTTTTCTAATTCTGTCCCTCTCAGGGCTCCCCCACCAGACAAGTTCTGCAAAAGCATCCATCTCAGAAAGAAAGCCAGGACACGTGACCAAAACCACTAGGAAAGAAACATTATGGGAACTCTATTTTGGTACCTATTAGCTGTTCCCATCTACAGTTACAGAAATATTTCAGTGCCTATTGGAGATTTTTGAAAGTCAACACAAGGAGAAAAGTCAGCAGGGAAAAAAAAACACAGAGTGTGGCTCAAAAGTTTTGGCTCAGTGTGGTGAACTGTGCACCCACCCACCCACGACAGCTTAACATTTTGTGTCAAGTATGATGCCTTCTCCAACCAACTGTGGTTTAAAAATCTGGCTTAGCATCTGTGAATGCAGTCAAAGAATTTTTGCAGCCTTCAAGGTCAGGATTAAGTTTTCAAATGAAGTATTTTAAATCTTGCTGTTGCTTCCCTTTCAAAGCCAAAACACATAACATGCCTTATGTTTAAAAAAAAATAGCAAAGAAACCAATATGCCTGGCATAATACACCTAAACCTGGTGATTGAAAGCAGAACCTGCTATATATTTTCTCAGAAGTTAATCCCACCAAGTTCAAGGGGGCCTGTAGCCCTGAGGAAAGTAGGAGCGGGAGCCAAGTCATGGTCTGGCAACTCCTAGTCCTTTTCAGGATGCAAGAGCAAGAGAGATGCAGACCATCAGCCTGCCAAACGAGGCTCAGCTCTGTGCTAAAGTAAATCACAGAGTCAGTGTATTATTGAATTAAGCGAAAAATCAAATGCATTTGACACCGGAATGAAATAGGGTTTTGGCTACTGGAGCTTGCAGCCAAGGCTGAGTCCAAGCTGCACAGTTGCTGGGCAGTCATGAAACATTTGTACGGGGTTAAGGGGGAGCAGCAGTAGACAGCCGGAGCGCTTGACGGACGTTTGGTTAGCGACACGGGATAAAGGGGTTCTCGACCCTAGGGGGACCTTCTGTTCTGGACTGGGCAGCATCCTCGGCTGCCCCACCTTGCAAAGAAGCACGAACCTCCTGGCCTCGGTAGCAGCCAGGCTGGCCCCACAAGCAGCAGGGCCCTCTTTAGACCGGGCCCAGAGAAGTGACACCCACCCACGTTCTTCCACCAGCAACTACTTGCAGAAAACGCCAGGTTTCTGCCAGGTCTCCCCCTTCTCTTGGGGCACTATTTACCTTTGTCTGAGAACCTGTGAATAACCCTGGGGAGGGTTATACTTTCTGCTGCTGGTCTGGGGGCTCTGTTGCTTCAGGCGTCCGCAGTGTTACCAAGCAACCTCAGAGGCGCTGTCAGCATCATCTCAGGACAAGGAAAGCCTTGCCAGCTCCTTTGCATCGATGTATCACCACACGACTATGACTATGGCCGTTGTTGGCTTCTCGTGCCCTGTATTTATTCCATGACACTTCCAGTGTCAGGAAAAGATCCTTGTGGCATCTAAACATGAATGCCAGAAAGTTCATAGAGCGGAGAGAACACTCGTGCTGTCACACTACAGCCAAGATGCCCGTCCTGGGCAGCTTGATGGCAATTGCACAGTGCAAAAAAGAATTTCTAACCAAGGTCTCATTTCATCCTCAGCCACATGGAGGGAGAATTCCTGTAAGTGGCAGATACTGCATTTTTTTTAGGCTTCAGAAACCAGAAATAGAAATCAAAAAGCCACAATGATGACAAGTTGGGAAAAAATACAAGGCTGGCTGCTTGCAGTCTAAGGCTGCAGGCCACAAGCAGAGATGGCAGAAAAGTACTTGAAGACGCCACTCGTTTATCCTTTCCACTGTTTTATCCCTTAGAAATTGCCGTACAGACTGATCGTTGCACCCCCAGGAATCATGGACCCTCCAGCCTTACGTAGCGGGGAGGGGAGGAACCTCCCACGGGAGGGGGAAGCAGGATCTGGAGACCCAGCTGGCCCAGCATGGCACGGATGCTTTCTGACAAGGAGCTGCGCACTGTCTCAATAAGCCAGAGAGACACATTCTCCCCTTCCCTGGGAGGAATGAAGAGATTCATCAGATTTTGCACGTAGGTTCAGTCCCTAGTATAGGAAAGGCACACTAAATAAAAACTGCTCACAGATGTACACTGAGATTGAACTTGTTTACCCTTAAAATCTACATATCTCCCTCAAAACAACACACATGGTTCCTATGTGCACTCCATGTTATATGCTTCCTTAAGCAGAAAACTGCAACACACAATTCAAAGAAGTTCATAATCCAAAGAATGAGTGTCTTCTGATTCACGGGTTCACCTAGGAAATGCAAATTGGGCTGGCTTACTGAAAAGCTCTAACCAGGCTGTCTCTCGTACTCATATGTACATTCCTCACCATCTCCACATGTGTGGTTCAACTTCAAACTCTTCATGATCTAATGGACATCATTTCACCAGAATTGTGTGTCAGTAACAGCTTCTTTGAGTCTTCTTAAGTTTGTGTGTGTCATCAGTGATACTATCTAGACACCTTGTCTTTTCTCAGCCTCTTTTTTGATCGCCTGTGATTTTTTCCAAGCATCAGGGTCTTCTGCAAGGACTTGTGCCTTCCCATTATCTCTCCAAAATATTTAAGCTTTAGCTTATTGTTAGTGCTTCCGGCCATTTTAGTTTCCATTTCAATTTCTTCTAGTCCAGCATTTCTCATTATATGTTCTGCATGGAAGTTAAATAAACCAGAGGCTGTATATAACCTTGGGACCTCCTTTCTAATTTTGAACCACTTAATTGCTCCACATTCTGTTCTAACTGTGGCTTCCTGGTCATCATACAAATTATTCAGTAGACAGATGAGATGACCCAGAGAGCCCATGATTTTAAGGGCTACCCACAATTTGTTAGACATCACAAAGAGACAACTTTGGGGAGCTCCCTTGCCCTTTTCATTCTTCATCAGACATTCACAATGTGGTCTTGGGTGCTTCTAATCTAGCTTGTACATCCCATGAATTGTTGAAATCTGGATTGCAAAATCGTTGGTATTATCTTATGTGAGCATGTGAGATAAGCACGTAACTCTTGGGTAATTTCAATCTTTTTTAGCACTGCCCTTTTTTGGTACAAGGATATAAATGAGTCTTTTCCAGTCTCTGCTGTTTTCCTTACCTGCTTACAGCGGCATGCATCACTTTAACTGCATCTACTTCTACCATTTTAAACTGTTCTGCTGCTATTTCATCCACTCCTGCAACTTTGTGGTTAGAAGTATTTTCTAGGGCCCATTTGACTTCACTGTGCAGAACATCTGGCTCTCCTTCAATGATCCATCCTCAGTAATCCCTCCTTTACATCTTCTTCTCCAGTAGACCTTCACCTTTATTCTTTGATCATGCCCATCTGTGCCCTTGATTTCCCTAATTTTCTTAAACAAATCTCTTGTCCTCATTCAGGTGTGATCCACCATCCCTTGCTGTGCTTACACTCAGGATTTATCTTCATCTGAACACCAGACTGCGCAACTTCTCCCCCTTACAAACCCTTGGTGGCCTGTGTCAGGAGACTGGTGGATGGGGGAGAGACGCCACCAGCAGAGCCACAGTAAAGATGATGCTCCCGCCGCCATCAGCCAAGCCCCAAATGCAGAAAGGAAGGCCAGTTCCTTACCTGATGATCACACACTGGTTCTCTCTGTCAATTATCATATTTCGGTACATATTATCTGCCAGAGCATAGATGTGGGGTGGGTTTTCATATTGCGCCTAAAGAGAAGAAAGCAGAAAGTAAGAAAGCATGACTTAACATGTGGTTATAAATATAAGAATTGATTAAAGGTCACATGAAGAAGACAGACACATGCCAAAAATACCTGCCATGTTCCTCAAAGGCTTGGAAAGTATCGGAGAACAAGGCTTGGGGAGTAGGAAGTAGTGAGGCATTGGAAAAGTCCAGCATCAAGAAACTTTTAATTAATTCATTTTTTAGTGAAATTAAATTTTGAAAAGCTAAAAGTAATAACTTACAGCTCCCTGATACATTTCAATTTCTTTCTCTCCAAAATATGGCATCTGCTTGAATGGATTCACAGAGATTAGAACGGATCCAATGTATGTCTGCATTAGAAGAAGTCAAGGTTGGTGTCATTTCAAGCGACAAAAATGAAGCGCCACCTCCTCTTACAGTGGGCTTGAGCTGTTCCTCAGATTTCCACCTAATATTAAGTGTGATTTGTTTGATTTACAGTAGGTCATCAAAAGCAAATGGATGAATCCACCTGCAGATGGTGTCACCTCCTTTCTTGCCGGTGCAGTTTAGACGGTCATAACAGATCTTCAGTGACGTTGGGGCCAGGCCACGGAGCCATCCCTGTACAGTCTACCCTGCCTGGCAGAGCCTTTAGGGCAAAGTAAAGTCTCTTCTGTCATCAGCTGCTTGGCCCTCTTCCCCTGGGAGGCCAGGAATCCAACCTGAGAACTCAGACATGCCAAGGATGGGCTGTACTGAGCTGAGGATTCAACCCTGTCAAAAATTATCTGCAGCTCATGAACCACGTTAATACGTATATCTGCGCCATTGTTTCACTTTCTCATGGTGTTTGATGATGCACGCATGTCATGTCATGCCAGCGTTGCCTGAAAGGAGGTCCCCCTCCAGTGTTGCAGGAGAGAATGAGGAGGCTGCTGAAGACAGCAGGGGCCCTCCTCCCTCTTTGTGGCCCCCACAAAGTGCCTTTCCCAGGTCAGCGACAATAGTTTTCCAGCACCGCAGATCGGTGTTAGTGTTTGCTTCACGCTGGCACTACACCCACGATGACCACACCTGCCCCTTTCCCATTCAGCACGCACTCCCTTCTAACAGGGACACAATTGGCCCTCAGTCTTACATACAAAACCCCATTGTCTGGGGTTAATAATTGCAAGATGACGTCATGCTGCTTGGGAAAAGAGAGCCAAGGCAAACAAACCTCACTTCGCAGATTGTACAAAACAGCCACACTTGGAAGAGATCCAAGAAGCGGTGGCACCGCCCAGGGCATCTGGGTGGTAGACCAAGAATGGACCGGGGCAGCCGAAACGCCCCGGAGCCGCTGGTTGATTCACGGGGCTGACGTTTTATGGAGAGATTCGATCACCTCTCCCCGCGAAGGCCGCTTCGCAGAAAGTAGCGCTGAATGAGCGATGCGACAGCCACACAACCGAACAGGCACGCAGAGCTCAGGCGGGAGCGGGCGGCCGGTTTGGAAGCGGATGAACGACGGGGACGGGGACGCGGCCTGCTGCGGTCGGCTGCGTTGGACGCATCTCTGCAGGCCCACGTAAGCTCGTGGGGGTGAGCTCGGAGGCGCC